CTCTCTCTCTCTCTCTCTCTCTCTCTCTCTCTCTCTCTCTCTATGTGCTTCGCCGGCAAAAGTAGCTCTGCCTCTTTGAATTCCAACCCCTTTCCAATGTTACTCCTGTTCGATAAAAAATAGTAGTACCCCTATATTCTTTTGAAGGAATTCTCCATTTTCCATGAATTTGATTTCATTTTTTGGAAGTTATACTTCTTTTACTTTTTCTTTTCTTCTCTCATTCTTCTACCTCTTTCTCCGTCGCTCACGCCCTTACGAGTATCTAGTATCTAAATAAAAAGAGAAAAAAAAAAGAAAAGACACAAAAGAAAATTGAAAACTACACCTAGCACCACCACCACCACCACCACTTTTCTTCGAGAAAATATGTTTGATGTCACGCATGGGAACGTTCGGGGGAAAAAAAAAGAAACAAAAAAGTAATTCTCTTTTACAATAAATAAAGTAGGAAAATTAATCAAGAAAAAGATAGTATTCTAGTTAGATGCAAAAATTTAAAAAGGAAAAGAAAGAAAGAGAAGGGGAGAAAGAGAGAAAACAAGAGAAAGAAAGAAAGAAAGAAAGAAATAAATGGAAAGAGAAAAAGAGGACAGTAGAAAACGGGACAAGTTTCTCGAAAGGTTGAGAACCGCTATGGGAGCCTGGGTAATAAAATGAGGGCCCCTGCCCTCCCCTGGGGGTGGGGCCCCCTCGATAACCCATATTGTACCCCCTGCTCCCCCTTAGCTTGGCCCCTCTCGCCGCCGCCCCTGGCCGTATATACTCCGATCGGCTGGAAGAGTTTTGTCCGGCGTTCTACGGCCAGAGAGAAATCTCCGATGGTCTATCTTTAAACGAATCGTTTGTTCGAAAATTTTCAAAAATGATGGCTGACCTCGCTACAATTTTCCCGATTTTTTCATATACTAAAATCATGAAATTTCAAGTATCTTCCAAGTTCGAAGGATTTTTCGTGTAAAATCGAGAGGCGGAGCGCGCGGACAATACTTTAGCCGGGACGTATATACACGATCATATACCACCCCTAGTCTCCCCACACCCCCCTAACAACAGTGGGGTGGTACAGTCCCGGCGAAAAGTCGTCGGCAACCCTAGCCACTGTACAGACCGAGCAGAAGAGCTACCTAGGCTTCCTTCCTTCCTTCCTTCCTTCCTTGGTTTGGTTGGTTGGTTGGTTGGTTGCTTGCTTGCTTGCTTGCGCTTTGCTAGCTTAAAAGAGAGAGAGAGAGAGAGAGAGAGAGAGAGAGAGAAGCAATGTTCGAAGAAATGAATGCCTGAAAAAATGCTGCTGCCTCCTAAGAGAGGGCAAAAGGTGGTGGATGCGAATATTGGATAGATATTAGAAAGAAAGGCGTAAGAGAAAGGAGAGTACGGTTAAAGTAAAAGAAAGAAACAAACAAACAAACAAAAAAGTCGTCTCGTGTATTTAACCCTGTAAATACTCATAATACACCGCGTATATGTGTGTATATGTTGTACCATCCCATCAAACGGGGTTGCTTTAGTTTTGTCTTATGTCGAATTTCGAAAAGAAAAAAAAAAAAGACAAGAGACAAAAAAAGTAATAGAAAAAAGAAAAGAGACGAAGAAAAAGAGAAAGAGGAAAGGATGAAGAAAAGAAAAAAAAAGCGGTAGGGGGGGGTTAAAAAAAGGGGGGTGGGTTGGTTGTACGGTGGAAGCGAATCGATGAAAAGAAATGTATTCGTCGCGAGTGGCAGCTTTAAGATAGGGTGGTCTACGTTGAAGGCGTCCGTTCGAGAGTACCTATGTACCTGGTAACACTGGAATTATACCGGATTCTTTCAGTCTCGACGAAATGCCGGAATCAGACTGGAATTTGGAGAGTCGATGCCGGACATTTTTTTCCGCGCTCTTTGGTCGTCGGCGTACAAGTATTCGAGACAGAAAGAGACAGAAAGAAACAGAGAGAAATATAGAGAGAAAGAGAGGGGGAGAGAAAAAGAGAGAGAGAGAAAGAGAGAAAGAGGGAAGGATACAGCAGCAGCAACGAATGGTAGGATAGAGATTGGTGCTAGAAAGAGAAAGAGAGGGAGTGGTATGTGCGCGCGCGCGCGCGCGCTTATTACGACGCAACGACGGGCCGATTTTTTTCCACCGAGGCCACCTCGATCTCTCGACAAATTGAATTCGACCACCACCTCCCTCCCTCCCTCTCTCTCTCTCTCTTTCTCTCTCTCTCTCTCTCTCTCTCTCTCTCTTTTTCTCTTTTTCGTGTCGGCTAATAAGAGCCCGGAACTCGAATTTTTCGTAACTTTGTCGGGAAATCATAAAAATTAGCAGGACCATTCGGGCCCGGATTTATCGTTGGTATAAGGGGCTCAGAAACCTTTGACCAGTACCTCCTCTTTAATTTTCATCGTGCAACTCTTATCCCTGATTGTTTGATTTCCTTCTTCTTCTTCTTCTTTTTCTTCTTTTGTATATGTCATTATTTCTAGAATATGGAAAAAAAAAACAAAAAAGTAACAGGATATCGAGGAAAATATAACATGGATTGTCATTTGGATCTATTTGTCAGTAGATTTTAAGTTTATTCTCATTCCTCGTATTCTCATTTATGATTATATGTGTTACCCAACCTGGTGAAGTTTTACATGGGTAAAATTAATATTCAATTTTATAATACATGGTAAATATTACCGACATAGAACAGAAACCAAAGAGAGAGAGAGAGAGAGAGAGAGAGAGAGAGAAGGATGCGGGGGAGAGGGTTATAGAGAGAGAGAGGAACAATATCCAGGGAACAAATCAAGGCACGGTGCTAGAAGCGAAGTCGAAAATGTATCGATCGCCAGTTCCGAAACATCGTTGCGGTTGGTAGATACGAATATACGTAGAAACATATATGTGTAGAAATTTAATGTCCGATCGAAACAAGAATGGTCTTATAAATTCTTTACATTACCTCATTGACCGTATTAGAATCGTAGAAAATAAAAAGTGATTAAACCAAACGTCGGATACTATGATACTTAGATACCAACCTCCACACACCCCCTCATCCCTCCTAGTTCTCAACTATCGATGAAGATTTTTCAAACGCGAGAGGAAACCTTTGAGGTGCGCAACCCTGTGTGAAAAAATCTGATAACGTTTGATTTCCAATTCGCTGCGACAGATTTTTCGTTTAATCGATGGTGTCAAAGTCGAGTGTCATGATTTCGGTACGGTGTGTGTTACTCAACATCGCATATTTGTCGAACATAATCTAGTTGACTTGATCCATTTGAATAAACATTCATTCCTAAGTTCCATCCTCCTACTTTCTTTCTCTTTTTCCTTTTTTTTCTTTTTTTCTTTCGTTTGGTCTTCTACTTCTTCCTATTTTTTATTTTCTTGGATCCAGTAAAGGACCGAGGGCGGGCACATTTGCCAGAAATATCAATTTGTGCTGGAGTGGCAACAGTTTGCTTGATTTGGCACGAGCTGGCTTACGTCCGAAATAAATCTTCGTGTTCGCGCGAGTACATGCGCATACACACACACAGACACACACAAATTCACAAGCACGTATGGATGATCCAGTATGACGCGAGTATGAAGGATGAAACGGAAAAACGATTGTCCTATCTCGAATTTGACGTGACTCAACGTCTCGAGAAAAGTTTCCTTTTTTTTTTCTTTCTTTCTTCCTTCATTTTTCATGACCGAAAATCATTTTTACGTTAGACCATAGAGAACAAGGAAAGGAAAGGAAAGGAAAGGAAAGGAAAGTTAAATATCCAAATGAATGATTAGAAAATATAAGAGTATATGATACGTGTTTAAAATCTATTCGCCAATGGCACAGTAGTTGAATTTGATAGAAAACAAGAGTTAGACGGTGGGTGCTTGCTGGTGAATCGATCGGTTGCGATATCTTTCGTAATTTCGAGCTTCACGGATCCAGCATCGTGTCGTATCTTCTTCCTTCCGCCTCGTCTCTGGGCTTCGTCGTGCTAGTTGCCCAGGCAACGACGTTCTTGCTAAAATTTCCACCCTCGCGTTCTCTCTCTCTCTCTCTCTCTCTCTCTCTCTCACTCATTGCTTGCAGAAAAAGAAAAAAAGAGGAACGATATAGTATAGAAGGAATCGAGCACGTTCGGAACACGTGATTCGCGATAAAAAAAAAAAATAGGAAACACCGGAAGAGAGTTTGTGTTTTCTGGATCGACGAAAAGTGATGATCCAACGTTTGAAAAGTAAGGTTTATTTCGTAAATCACAATATCATTCGCGGTGGTTTGGTAGACGACCAGGAAGATAAAGCTTAGCTCGATAACGTTCACGAAGAAAAGGCGTCCCATGCGGGGAAAAATAATAATAAGAGGGTGGGGACAAGCGAGATGTATAATTGAATGAAAGCACACTGAACAGAGCCCATGTTTTTTGCGAAAGAAAGAGAGATAGACAGAAAGGGAAAGAAAAAAAGAAAGCAAGAATGAAAGAGAGAGAAAGAGATAAAGAGTGAGAAAAGAATGGGGTGAGATGGGGTGGTGGTGGGAGGACGAAATGCTATAATTTCAAGCCAGACAGTCATGCGTTATTCAGCGCCGCGTACAGACGTCCCCCACTACCCTGTCTCCACCTTCTTATCGTCCTTCGTTCGACCCTCTCTTCTCTTCAATCCCATTCCTCTGTCCCTTTTCCGTGCTTCGTTCTATCTTCCTTCTTTCACTTTTTCTTCTTCCTTTCTCTCTCTCTCTCTCACACACACACACATACACTCACAATCCTCCCCCTTCTCCAACCGTATTTTGTTTTTTCCTTTATCTTTTTCTGTTTTTTTTTTCGGTTTCGAATCAACCCCCATTGGGAAAATCGCCACGATATTATTGTCATTGTCGAGGAGGTGTAAACGAACCTGTCTGACCTTTTCTTCTTCTTCTTCTTCTTCTTCTTCGTTTTTTTTTTCTTATTGTTATACTTGTAAGATGTTAAAAAGGCTTCTTCATATCTTGGTTATTATTTTCATTATTATTGTTATTATTGTTTCAGGATAGCGACAATCTTTGGTGGGACTCGTTCGCGACAGAATTCTTCGAGGACGATGCCACACTAACTCTTACCTTCTGTCTTGAGGATGGTCCGAAGAGATACAGTTAGTATAATCTAATATTGATTCAAATAAGGTATATCAAATAACACATTTTTTAATAATTACACTTCGTCAAATTGTTCGGTAAATGTATGAAAAAAAAAAACAAAAAATACAATGTCACGTTATTGAACAGTAGCACCCGTTCAATATCAATTCATTAAACAAATTTTTGACTAATCACACTTCATCAAAATCCTTTCAATAAACTTAAAAAAAATACAATGTCCCGTTGTTGAATGCATTATTTTTCGACAAAAAAATAAGACATACGTAGATTCATAAACACATCATTAGATTTGTAACGTAAGATTAAATTGTCCTTGTCTGAAGGAATGAACGTTCACGATGAATGCGACGACGATGAATGGTAGAATTCGCTAAGGCTGCAGGTTTGAAATAATAACTCGCCACCGTGAAGAGCAATTTTGTAGTAGGTGGCTTTTAATGTCTTCTCTGTGCTTTCGCGCTCGTGCACACTGCTGCTGCTGCTGCTGCTGTTGTTGTTGTTGCTGCTGCTGCTGCTGCTGTTGCTGCTCGAGGATGTATGGCGACAAGGTGATTACACGTTGCTCGCCGCTATCGTCCAAGCTCGCGCGAACGACAGGAGGAGGTACCACCTGCCTCGATACGAATTATCTTTCACCGAAAGATCGACGTCGCGTTTGTCCTGGATTTAAAATATCATCTCCTTCTTTATTTCTTTTAATGCATACACCTGTACACCAGATATAAACATACATACATACATGTTAGGGGCTAGTATGAAAATCTATAAGATTTTTGTCCCGTTACATAGGGGGAAAAAAAAAAAAAAAAAAAAAAAAACTACACAAATTTATTAACCTAATACCACATATCAGGGATAGTTGTTGATTCTTTGGCTTCTTGCAAGATGAGATCACTAACAGCACGTTTATCCTTTCAGCGATAGGAAGGACGCTAATACCTAGGTACTTCCGTTCGATATTTGAGGGTGGAGTAACGGAACTTTACTATAACATGAAGCACCCGAAGGAGTCGTTTCACAACACCAGTATAACGCTAGACTGTGAAAACTGCGTCATGGTCACGCATCACGGCAAGCCAATGTTTACGAAGGTGAGTTTTGTCTACTGTTTTTTTCTTTCCTTTTTTTTTTTCTTTTCTTTTTTCTTTTTATCTTTCTATCTCTATCTCTATCTCTATATCTTTTTTTCTTTTTCTTTATTCTTGCAATTAGTTAAAATTCGAAGAGAAATCCGTTAGTCAAACGGTATCGTTTAAACGAGCATGAAACTAATTTAGTCGATGTTTCCGTTTTAGGTGTGTACAGAGGGTAGGTTAATATTGGAGTTCACCTTTGACGACCTCATGAGGATAAAGTCATGGCACATGTCGGTGAGAGTGCATCGAGAGCTGGTACCAAGGTCGGTTGTAGGCTTGCAGCAAGATCCTTCGGTACTCGAACAGCTCAGTAAGAACATCACCAGACAGGGTATCACTAATTCTACTCTGAATTATCTGAGGGTGAGTAGAATAACTTATCGAATGATTGATTATCGGAAGAGATAGTAATATCACCGAAAAGGGATACTGATTTGTTCGCGAAAGTACGAGTCTCTCATACTATATATCCAACTTTCAAGATGTATATATATCTTCTATCTTCTTCTTTCCTTGTACGGCAAGGCAACGCTTTCACCATGAAACGTAAGCACTCATGAGAGAGAACGCGCGCGCACACGCACACCTACTTGAACGTATTATTTTTCGGAAAGTCTTCTTCGGTGTTGTTAGAACTTTTCTATTACAAATATAATCTTACTATGATGTACAAATTCTCTTTTCAAATAATAAATATTTTATTTCACCTTCTTGTTTACAGTTATGCGTAATTTTGGAGCCGATGCAAGAACTAATGTCGAGGCACAAAGCATACGCGTTATCACCAAGAGATTGCCTAAAGACGACCTTGTTCCAGAAATGGCAGAGGATGGTTGCCCCGCCGGGTAAGAGAGGTAGACGAACAGTTGCTTTACATGAGAAGCACCAGCCAGTGGAGCCCGAACAACCGGATCAGTTTGAAACAAGATTAATGTCGTATTGATTCAATCTGACGATTAATTATATTTAAACGATGCTTCTTCTTTCCATGGATATATCGTCGACTTTTCTCCCCCCCGTTTACATTATCAAATACGTATATATAATATATCTCTTCCATTTTATAAAGAATATATTTCATCATTCCCCAATTTGATCTTTTATCATACATTCTTAACACAATATTTCCATCTGACACATTTCCCTCTCTTTCCCCTATAAAATTGACCATTCCCAGCTGGGTCGACGTTAAAATCATGGAAGGAAGCAGACGGTTTCGCGCGCGAATAATTCTAGCGTGTTTCTCTGTAAAGATGATAAGAAGGAATATATGTATATACATACATTCATTTATATATATATATATATATATGTATATACGTAGATTGCTTGAGAAAGAGTGTATCGTCTGTCGATCGATGCATGGCGTGCTTGTATGTGTAAGAGACCTTTGATTACGAAAAGAAAGGTCCACAGCTGGGTAGCGAACTTGGTTTTATCAGTGTATTCCGTACGTGGCTCTTATAGTGCTACATCGGGCTAACGACGACAAAAATGATTTACGATACTCATTCATTTGTTATTTTTGTTTTTTAGAATCTCAGAGGCCAGCAAGTAAAAGAAGAAAGCGAAAGGGCAGCACTTCCGGGCCGGGAAACAACGCTCCCCCTGCGCCAAGTAAAAAGAGGTCTCCGGGGCCAAATTTTTCTTTAGCGTCGCAGGCAAGTTTACAATATTACTTGAAAATAAATAAAATTCGATTTTATAGAATTTCATGATATCATTGGTCAAGAGCTTATGGTTAAATGTAATTTTGATTTGTATCTAGGACGTGATGGTCGTGGGTGAGCCATCTCTGATGGGTGGCGAATTTGGTGACGAGGATGAACGTTTGATAACGAGGCTGGAAAATACGCAATACGATGCGGCGAACAGTCTAGACCCACACAGTCACGACGCGACGGGTGGTCCGCCTCCGCACCCTCATCAATTTCATTCGGAGCCAACACCGGGTAACTCTTGGCCACCAGACCGTGGCCCTGGTCCTGGACCTCCGCAAGGTGGACCTGGTAGTCAGGTAATACCCTCTATTGAATTAAAATAAAATCAACACGAGTACTAGGTTATCTACAGAGAACCGTCTTCTTAACTCCGATTTAGAGATGCTAAAGAGCAGCTGCCCGCGCTCCTATAGGTGAGAGGCGGTAGAAGAACACATCAGAAAACCGTGAGGTTTGTAGAGGAACGGAAGTTATAACGGAGCATCTGGTGTGCGACGTGTTACAGGGCATCCAGGGTACGCAGGGAGGCGGATCTTCGGGTGTCGCGGGTTCGCAGGATGGCAGTCAGCAGCAGCAAGACAAGAAGAGCCCCGCGGTGAGCCAGTGAGGCCAGGAGTCCCCGCGCCCTCCCACCAGAGGGCGACGGGGGCGCAAGCCCAAAAACGTGGCTCCCTAGCGGGGCGAGAATCCGAACCTCCCCACCGGCTATCTTGGCACGTCCGGTTGCGGCACGGGCTGTACGCCTGGCTGCGGTACCGGGTGCACGTCTGGTTGCACGTCTGGCTCTTCTTCGGCCGGCAGGTTGTCGCACGTTGGCGTACCCTTCGGCACCGTTCCATTCTCTTGTCAGGCAACTGGCATACCACCACCACCACCACCACCACCACCGAGCCATCATCATCCGGAGCATCAGCAACACCATCATCCCCATCATCCACGCTTGGGCCATGTAGCCGCGGCAGCGAGTGCTGCTGCCGCTGCGGCCGCATCGATGGGGATGGAATCCTCCGACTTGGTCGCGGTGGCCCATTACCAAGCGCAACAACTTCAGCGACAATTGTTGGCCGAGCAGTCGACTCCGGGCACGATGCTGCCACCGTCTGCTCAGTCTACTGGTGGAGGCTTGACGCAGCCGTTACAGCAGGGACAGCAAACTCAACCATCCCAGAGCCAGGACCCACTGCAGAGCTTGGTGCAACAGTTGCTCTGTTTGCAGCAGATCGAGTATTTCCTCGCCCAACGCGGACACAAGTGATATACGCCTGCATACATATATACATATATGCGCGTTTAATATATATATGTATGTATGTGTCTATACATTAAGCGTTTATATCTGCGGTGTCTCTTCTACTCCTCCTCCTTCTCCATCGTCGTCGTCGTCGTTGTCATCGTCGTCATCGTCATTGTCATCGTCGTCATCGTCTTCGTCGTCATCTTCAGCATCGTCGTCGTCGTCGTCGTCATCGTCGTCATTGTTCGTCGCTGCCGTTGCTCGACTTTTGCCCGCGCTACCTCGTCTCGATAATGACGAGAGGACTCTTATAAGCGTCCATGAGATAAGTCTGTATGTTTGTTAAAAGCGTGTGTGTTAGTGATGATGATTAAAATAATGATGATAGTAATGACGACGACGATGATGATGACGACGATGACGATAACGATGATGACTATGATGATAAGGATGATAATGATTATGATTAAGACGATGATGATGATGATGATAATGATAATGATGGGAATGATTATGTTTATGATGATAATGATGATGATGATGATGATAATGATAATTATGATAATGATGATGATTATGATGATTATGATTATGATGATGATTATATTATAATAATTACGATGATGGTGCGTGAATGAGAAAGACGGAGAGAGAAAAGGGCCGCGTGCGTCGATTAAAACCGCAGATATTCGTCAAAATCTTTTCTTTCTTCGATCGTGAACACCGCGTTTCTTCTTGCTGCTGCAGTCAATGATGCTCCTGTTCGTTCGAATTTCTTTTTTCTCTCTCCTTGTTTTTGATTACGAAATAAATAAATACGTATTTCTATCCCTCGATCGGCGGGGAGGGTAACGCACGGTGTTGTTTTCCGATTCGTGAAATAAGGAAAGCCAAGGGGAAAAAAAGAAATATTGAAGAAGAACCATCGGTTGCGTCAAAAACAAACACACACAAAAAAAAAAACAAAAAAAGAAAGAAAGTTAGATAGATATGTGGCTCCTTTATTAAATGCGGATCGATGTGCGAAGTTCTATGGGACACCGTGCAAACATTTTAATGTGTTGCTAGTTAAGGTGAAACGAGCCTCGTATATTTCTCGCGAGAGACTCGTCTATTTAGCGTGTGATAAAATAAAGGAGAAAAAACAATAACTATAATGTTGTTACGTGTGAACACAAAGGAAAAATGGAAGAATGAGAAGAAGAAGAAGAAGAGGAGGACGAAGACGAAGAGACGAAGAGAAAAAAGAAGAAGAAAAAGAACGAGGAAAACGATGATGTTCGAATTAAAATGAGCTAAGAAGAATGAGAAACGTGTGTGTGCGCGTGATTTTTTTCTCCTACTTTTTTCCAGATTTTTTTTTCTTTTTTTTTTTTTTTTTTTTTTTTTTTTTTTTTTTTTTGAATATATTATACGAAAGGTTGGGTTAACGGGTGGGATGAACTTGCGCGAGGCTTGTGCGAAGAGAAGTCCTGATGGAAAAAAAATAAGTAACACAAAAAAAAAATAAAAATTAATGAAAAGAAATATAGAACGAAAAATTGCGGGGAAATAATAAGAAAAGTGAAAAAAATATATAAATATTAAACAAACAAACAAACAAAAAAACAAAACAAAACAAAAAAACGCGCCCCACGCGACAGAGACGATAACACCGCTCTGATTGCGAGCTGTGAAGAATCTCTTATCCGTCAACAGTATTGATATAATTAATAGAATAAATGAATATAAAAGATAAAAAAAACGTTATTGTAAGAGATAAAATATAGCATAAGTACGTAATTGTGCAAACGTATGCGAGTTTACGAGAAAGAGAGAAAGTGTATGCATGCGTGTGTATATGACAGCGAAAGAAAGAGAGAGAGAGAAAGAGAAAGAGAAAGAGAGAAAGTTTGATTGAGTTTCGTACGATCGTTTCAGAAAATATTTGCGCAAATGTGAATGATGTTAAAAAAAAAATTATAAAAAAATTGGAAAGAGAGAATGTGTGTGTGTTCGTGTTCACGTGAGAAAAAGAGAGAGAGAGAGAGAGAGAGAGAGAGAGAGAATCATCGTCGTCGACTGAGAAAAAAAATTTTTTAAGTGTCGAGCCCGATCGAACGCCAACGCACAGGCCACCCTAAATGTCCCATGGGCTCATAGTAAAATTTTATTCTTTTATTTTATCATCGTTATTTAATTTACCGTGCGTGCGCGCGCAAGTGAAAGAATAGGACAAGAACACGAAAAGAGAAAAGAAAAAGAAAGAAAGAAAGAGAGAGAGAGAGAAAGAGTGAGAGAATGAAATGGTGCGCGTGTTGCGTGATGTATGTCTTGTGAACAAATGAGAGAGGGAGAGAGAGAGAGAGAGAAAGAGAATTTGAAAGGTAAAAGATAACAAGAATTTTGCACGCTAAAATTTAAGAAAGAAACCTCCATCCAAAGGTTCAAGCGATATTAAGATGTAACATAATTGTAAAGTGTATAGATAATTTTTCTTTTTCTTTTCATCGTATATTTTTTTTATATTTTTTTTTTTTATTTTTTGTTTTTATTTTTATTTTTTTTCTTCTTCTTGGGCGATAAGAATGATATTGAACAATTTACGTCGATATATATATATATATAAAACAAACAAAAAATAGATAGGAAAGAGAGAGCTTTTCAATATTCATAACATCCAATTGTTACGAAAATCCTGATTTCTTTCTTTTTTTTCTTTGTTCGTATTTTATTGGAAATATTAACACAGCACCACAGGTACCTACGCTCTGGATTATGTTTTATAAATAAAAAGATTTATGCACTAATGACGGAATTTGTAGAAAAAATATATCTCGTATTTTGTTACGAATTTTATGTTCGCCGATATTAATGAAGTGGAATTATGCGAAAAATGGACGATTAAGTTCTTAATAACAATAAGACGGGATAGCATGGTTAATCGACATTTTTGTTCTTTTAAACATTCAATCGTGTATGTATATATGTATGTACGTATGTATGCGTATATGAAATTTATGAATGTATGATTGTATGATGATTGGTTGCGTTCGTGTGTATTTTGGCATCGATACAGACACACATAAAAATACATACACACACAAATCCCATGAATGCGCGCGAGAATATGTAAACGATCCCCATACACAAAAGCACATAGATAGACATACACACACACACATATACACACACAGAAGTCTCAACACACATTTTACGCAAATCATTTTTGCATGAAGTTCCTTGCGCGTTACATCGTATACGTTCCTCATTATATTTGTTCCTATTTTTGTACTACTATTCGTGATTTCTTACGTTCCCATTATCCCTGTTACTGGAGCTTTTTCCTCGTACAACAACCTGGGGACGATTATGGAAAAGAAAGATAATCATAAATAAAATAAAATATTAACATTGACGACCTCGAAAAAACGAGATATATAGAAATGAAAGAAAGAAAGAAAGAAAGAAAGAAAGCAAGAGAAATCATTTTAAATATCGATTAGTCTAACACTCGCTCTGAGATTTTTTTTAATGCGCTTTCGGGAATGATCAAGAACATTTGGATATATTAAATTTATTTCATTAAATATAAACAGAATTAAATGTATATATGGAGTTTTAAACATATACACACATATATATATACATTTTATCTATCCAATTTTTACACCCATTGTTGTTTTTTATTATTAATTATTGATAAAATTTGAAGAAAAAAAGCGTAGTCCTCCTCCTCCTCCTCCTCTCTCTTCCCCATCCCCTCGTCGTTATCATCGTCGTCGTCGTCGTCATTGTCGTCGTTTGTCGAGTTTTCTTCTTTCTTTACTTTCTCTTTTTATTTCGATTGTTAACTACCAACTTCCGATAAGAGCAAGAAATGGATAACTCTTTTCCCCGCACCCCCCCCCCCTCTTTCTAAAAAAAAAGGATAAACAAAATAAACGAAGAAACTTTAAATTTACGACGCTGGCAAAAATAAAAAAAAAAGTTTCTTCTATTCCATTACTTTTTATCACGAAATGATTCAATGCGTTTTTATTGATCATTAAAAACCCATGCTCATTTATTTTACTTTATTTTATTTCATCTTCTTTTTTTTGATTAATCCCATCATTCTTTCTCTATATTATATTGACTACTCCTTTAAAAATTCGAACTTTTTCGCGAGTAAAAGACACACGACGTGTATACTTATCTAAATATCGGAAATTCTGTTTGCGGTATCAAATTAATTTAAAGATGTTATATTGAAACGAAGAGAAAGGAAATAGAGACAAAAAAAAAGCGAAAATGAAGGAGGAAGAAAAGGAGGCCAAACGGTATGCTAATTTTTCTTTATGGTGGTCGAAAAAAGCGTATTAAACCGAACAGAGAAGGAGAGAGAGAGAGAGAGGGAGAGAGAGAGAGAGAGAGAGTGAAAAAAAACGAGAAAGAAAGAAATAGTTAGAATGAATGAGTAAATGAGTGAGTGAGTGAGTGAGTGAGTGAGTGAGTGAGTGAGTGAGTGAGTGAGTGAGTGAGTTTGATCCTGCCTATAAAACGATATACCTATGTAATACGTATATCTTTGACAGTATGTATATATGTATGTATGCACGTATATATGCCTGTATGTATGTATATATGTATGTAACCGATGTATCTATCCGAATCGAACGACTCTGGGGAACCGAGCTGTCGATAGGTCAAAGTTCGTCCTGCTCGTTTAGACTTGACACGGTTGGTAAAATGGGTTGGTGTGGGGGTAGCGATAGGAATGGTATGAGGTATGGGGGTGTAGAGAAGGTAGGGATAGAACGTTGGCATTTCATCATGTCCATGAACTTTGCGCTTTCACAGTCGAGGGAACTTTTTTCTTTCTTTTTTCTTCTTTCTCTTTCTTTATTACTTTTTTTTTTTTTCCTGCGGTGATCTACAATTCTACAGAAATCACGTGAGAGAGAAACAAAAGAATGAGTATGCGAGTGAAAGAGATGGAAAAAGAAAGAAAGAAAGAAAGAGAGGGATGTAGAGTTTTTAAATATGTACACAAAAAAAATACACGTACACACTTGTGAACATAGAAAATTAGTCACTCGCGCATATATATATATATATATACACATCCATCCACGCGTAAAATGCATGTCCCACATTTTGACTGATTTACGTTTAAAAATGTTGCGTTTTTATTGCGATTTCTTTTCCATTTGTTCTTTTTCATGGGAAAGAAATAACGAAGGAAAGATAATGAAGGAGAGGGAGGTGATAAGACATGTATATTAAAGATTATATCTATAAAAAAAAGTACATACATATACATATGCATATATATATACGCGTATATATGCACGAAGGCACCTGGAATCATTTGAAACAAAAATATTTCGTCGTGTTGGTTGTGTTCAACGGTTTTATAAACCAATCATTTCCCTCGCAGCAATTATGTTACACGTATACCACAAATGTACAACACATATGAAGAAAATACGCGCATTGTCAATATGTCATTTTTTAATTATCATGTATAAAGAAGGATATAGGACGCGAGCCAATGTAACTTATATCGTAGCACAATAAACATTACAGACATATTACTAACACGGACATTTGTACACTATGTATGTAAGATGAAGAAAATGAATGAGTTAATGAATGATTAAGAGAGAGAATAAGAGAACGAGAGAGAGAAAATCAGAATGAGAAAAAGAAAGAAAGAATGAGAAAAAGAGAGAGAGAGAGACACACGCACGATACATAATTCGCGTACAATGAAAAGACGCGCGTGCGGGCTCACGCTTATACATACATACACATCCTAAAATCATGCGATAAATCATGAATTAATTAGATAAACCAGATGTGATGCCGGTTTAGTCTCACAGTTTGGTTGTGTATGAGATTTACGAGTGAATACATAGTATATATATATCTAGACATGTCAGATTGTGTTAAATACATATATATGATTTGTATATACTACAATTTGTATATGGAATATATATATGTATTTGTATATGCAATGACATTTGTTTGCATATATAGTATGTGTTCCCCTTTGTAAGAGTGTAAGAGAGCACGTAGTGTGCGTGTGTTGTGCTTATGTACACGCGCATAAGAAAGAGAGAGAGAGAATGAGGTTGAGTGAGAGAATGATAGTATGAGGGAGAGAGAGAGAGAGAGAGAGAGAAGACGTGACCGATTTCGACACGTGCATGCGATTGGGTACTAGTATAAATGATTTATTGAAAAATGTTGTATATTATTACGAATTATAATGACACTATTATAATGAATTAATTAATTATTATACCCCAATAATGTGAATTGAATTTAAACGACAGAAAAATACATTAAATTACGATGTAATAGGAAAGAAAATTTTAATTGTCAGTGAGAGGAAACGGAGAGATAAACTGGAACTTTTTCTAAGCGACCAGCCTAAATTGAGAGTCGAGAGAAAGAGAGAGAGAGAATGATCGCGTGAGTGAGATAGAAAGAGAGAACAAGAGGAAGTATGATAGAGTGAGAAAAAGAGAGAAAGAAAGAAAGAAAGAAAGCATGGATCACGACTATAGCTGAGAATCAAGTGAAAGTATCAATCATAGTGCTGACAATTCATCGAAAATAGATGCTGGACTAATATTTATCTGTATGGGACCGAGTTATTTCATACGTGAAAAAGTTCACTAAAGAAAACGAGATGGCCGTTATCTTCTCAACACTTGCGTTACGTAATTAAAAAGAGCAAAATATATAAGATAAGAAAAAGAGAAATTTTTAAAAATATCGCGGCAGATAATAATTTTTAAAAGTATTTACTCCTCGTATTATTATGTTACAAATTTAGCTCGACAAATTTCACCTACGATTATTTTAATGGGCTGTTCCTTCTAACCGGCAAGGTCAGCCACGAACATTCGCGTTAATTAACCGGCATAATCGTGGTTTCTACGTGGGATCAATGGTAAACCTCAAATTCCGAGCCAAATTTAGATTGGTTTTCTTGGATGAAAAAATTCAACCGATAACTATTATAATAACACGAGTCGTTTTTTATTTTGTCTTTTACCATTATATTTATAATATTCAAATATTTCATTAGAACATTTGTTATATATATATATATATAAAAACGATTGTTTCTTTATTACTTTAGCGATAAAAATAACAAAATGAGAAATATTCGAAACACGTCAATACCTATCGACATTTTTGATATCTAGGGAAAATGATTGATTTTCTTTCAGAATATAAAAGACGTAACACAAAGCATTTGATGAATGAAGTAATCTGGCAATCTTCGTTAACGTGGTCCTAAGCCGATATCGATATGTCCATGCTCTACTTACCTAGCACTCTTTTATTTAAGAGATACGAGAAGGTATTCCAAGCGA